TGGTCTTGATTGGCTCTGTAATTGTCTAGAATAGTGTCTGGACCGGTCCTCTCTGGAGGAAGCATGAGAGCGGATAGGAGATCTTCTAGAATACGTTTGTCTCTGCCTATATTGCCTTTCCTCAGAGTAAGAGTAAGTTCTCTGGTTTCTATCATTATATCTCCTCTTTGATGGGATCATTTCTGCCTCATATCTTCGCTGGACCACATTGGGGTTTCTCAGGGAGTGAGAGTTTGATTGCTTACTATGATAGCCCCTGGGAATGTAGTCAGCTTCTCTCTGAGGGTGGGTTCTGGCGCTAGTTAGAGGATGGTGTGGTGTTGTCGGATTAGCCTCTCTTGGGGTAGGTTCAGATTTCTTTAAGCCCGGGCACTCCTTCATTTCATGGCTTAGTCTGTGACAGTGCAGACAGTGACCCTTTAGTTTCTTATACTCCAGGGTAATTCGGGCTTCACTACCATCCGGGAAGTCCACTATTGTTTCCTTGATAAGGGGTTCCAAGCCATTGATGAGAACTTTCATTTGTATATTTTTTGGTGTGATTTCATGCGCCAGTAGTTTTCCCACTTCTCTAACTATGGACTGTATCATCTCAAACTTCCAGTAATGCTTTGGCAGTCCTTTGATCTCTATCCAGAATGGGATCATTGCTGGGAAAGAAGGGGAGATGATTGGTTCCCACCTCTCCAGAATCACCATCCATTGGTCAAAATGGTAAGGTCTGTTGTCTAGGACTTTCATTAAATCTTCTTCATAGTCAAAGAGGAGCTGGAAGCATCCATTACCCAGGTCAGATCCAGTGGCTTTTCCCCTGAGATTGAGATTTGAGCTTCGGGATATGTAGGGGAAGAGAGACCAGAGGCGCTGCTGCAGAGGATTGGTTAGTCTTCCAATGAGCGTAAGAGCATTTTCTTTTATCAGATCTTCAGTTTCTATCTCTGGTGCTCTTACTCTTCTGCAGACAGGAGAGTCGTATTCATTTTGTTTTCCTTTTCCTTTCAGGTGATACGGGATTCTTCGCTCCATTATGACTTAACAGTAGTCAGAGCCGAGCCGGAGCTTATTTTCTTCACACAAAGGTGAGAGAGTTCAAGAGGGTTCAAAGATATTTCCTGTCTGAAAAGACTGAGGGTTCTTGTCCAGATCGGTTGAGAGTTAATGCTTCAATAAATGAGAACAAAGGAAAGGGTTCTTCACACTAAGGTGAGAGAGTTCAAAGCGAATTTAAGGCTAGATCTTAAATAGGAGAGAGGAGAAAGATACCAAGCAAAGATTTGTACAGTTTTGAGAGGGTACCTTCTGTTTTGGTGCAGATTTGCGGGGTTTGGCGAGTCTGTAAGCATCCAATCGGCCGGAATGAGGTGGTGAGAGGCGTCTCCTACGCCGGGCTCACTGGTGAGGACCACCGGTGGACCAAAGCCTTGCCGGAAAAGGGGAGACAAGCCAAAGTTTACTAGAAAAGGAAGTTAAAAGTGGTTGAGATCTGTTTTTTTTCAAAAACATTTGCTGCTTTTAGTTACTTGGGAAATGTGCCTGGGAGAAAACTCCTTTTTGTGTTTAACCAAAAAAAAATATTTTTTGCTTTTATCTTGTCAATCAATTTTAATAAGAAAGAAATTAAGAAAATAAAAACTTCTATAAAGGTTTTTAACATTTACTCCAAATAAAGGAAAAAATCTTTCTAAGGTTTAATTTTCCATTTTTTCTTTTTAAAAAGTTATATAATAATTAATATAGTTTTCTGTAAATTATTAATTAGATATAATATTTTTTAAAATATTATATCTAAATTATTTTTTAGATATAATTAACATACAATAGTCATTAGATATGATTGGCACAAAATGTTGGTTATTTGTTATTCTTTTTGTATATTTGTTATAGATCATTGGTGTAGTAGCCGTTAGATATTTATTATAAATAATTTGAAATATAACATATGTTATAGATAGCGTATGATAGACGGTAGATATAATAGGTGCAAAATGTTACAAAATATATTTTATTTATTTATTTTTTTACATATTCATTAAATATAATTAGCGGAAAATAGTCGTTAGATATATACAACTTACCCGCGTAATTTTTAAAAATCCGTTACCTATTGAAATTTGTTAGGTATTTAAGATTGGTAACTAATTCACTGTAAATTTATAAAAAGGTCAAATTATTTAGCCATTTTATGTAACATATTAAAATATGGGATAGAAAACAAGAGATTGTGAAATTTATAAGAGAGTCAAAGCATGAGAATTAACTCTCTTACTAGCCACAAATCAAAATATTTAAGAGATAGCATAAACTTTGTGAAATTTTATAATTTAGAGGTGGTTAGAAAGTGTGGATAAGATAAAAATCAAAAGTAAAATCTTGGGAGTGCATCAACCAGTGCTTCCCCCCATCTATATAAACTGGACTCTTCCATTGTCGAGTTTCATCCCTTTGTATTTGGTTTTTCTTTTAATAAGATTCTACAATCGCTATGGCTTCCGAGAGTGCTGTGAATGAGATCAACCAAGTCGTTGAACCAGTTGGTGATGATGATTGTGTGGTTTGCCTCGAGCCTTTGGCTAACGAGCCTGATGCAAGAACTCTTGTTACGCTGTAGCCACCGCTTTCATTTAGGTGAGTTTTTTTTATTTTGTTTGTGAATTAAGAGCACCAAATATTTTGTTTTTTAATGGAACTTCGTTATGAGAAACATAGATCCTTATTTGTTCTTAGTATATGATATTTGTTTTGTTTTGTAGTATTTTCTTGTGACATATATTTTCTACTTTATCATTTGATGGGATTATTGTTATATGATTGTATATTTGCGTTATGAATATCATAGATCATTCGCTAATAATTGCCAATAATAATAGATTGAATAGTTTTTTTTTTTTCTTTATGTGCTATGTTGTGACATCTATCAATTTTTTTGTTCCTACAGATTGCATTGGCTCGGCTTTCAATTGTAAGAAGAAGATGATATGTCCAAGCTGTAGGAAAGTCGAAAAAGGTGATTGGTTGTATGCAGCACATCCAGGCCAATATGACCAACCAACTTTCAATCTGGAGCATGTGCTTAATGATCACTTACCTATCAGCTGGGTAAACAAATATTCTACACCTTAGTTTTGTCCAATTAATGTCTGATATAATATTAAGTTTGGAATGGATTTTATTCGATTAGAACAATAACATATTTGACGATTTATAGGAGAATGGGCCAACAATCCTGGCCTTACCAGCTTCATCAGCATGGAGGGGCACACATGTGTTGCCAAATGATGTGACTCATAACATCCAAAACATATCAAACCATCCAGCTATGCCAAATCCATTGGAGCCGAGGAATGACTTTTGGGTGCATGACCCTTCCTCGGAAGCGGGGCTAGATTCTGAGTTTGTTGAACAGTTTTCCCAACGCCGTCTAAATGACTTGCTGCATGGTAATGGCAGGCCCGGCCCTGGACAGATTTAACAAAACATTTGTATTGGGTCTCAAATTTTCCGAGGCCCATTTTGTGAGTTTTTTTTTTTTTTTGTTTGTTTTAAAGGTCCCACAATTAGTAAAATAGGCCTCAAAATTAGTAAAATAGACTTCAAAATTAAAAAAAAAAAAACCCCATAATTAGTAGGAAGGCCTCATAATTAGTAAAAATCTTATAACTAGCAAACAATGTCCAAAAATTAAGAAAAAATGTTAAATAAAAATTATAAATGGCCCATAATTAGCAAAAAAAAAATTTTTTTTAACAGTTTTTACTTATTAAAAAGGCCTCAAAATTTTTTTTCGTATTCGGCCTCGGATTTTACCGGACCGGCCCTGGGTAATGGTGGCAGAAGTGTTGGAACTAGCAATGGTCGTGGAACTAGCAATGATGGTGAAGCTCAGGCCGTGCATAGAGTGTTGGTGGCCTAAGGCAAACTAATTTTTTTTTTTTTTTCATAATACAATAATTTATAATTAAAATTTAATATATTATTTTATAATAAATTAAAGAGAACTAAAACTATTTTTAGTCTGTGAAAATAACGTTTGGTAGTACTATATGTTAAAAATATATTACTTATGCTATTTTTGTAATATATTTACTTAATTAACACCAATTTTTATCAATAAAGATACTAAATATCATTTCGACAAAAAAAAGATACTAAATATCAAAAATAAATAACAGTATTTTCTTTTTAAGAAAATTTCAAACTTTCAAAAATGACACTAAATATATAATTATATATATTTTTCTAATATACCAAATAAAAATTTAAAATTTGGGACCCCAAAATTTACTTAATATTGAGGGGGCCTAAGGCAATTGTCTTTTTTTCCTCACATAGGCACGCCTCTGGTGAAGCTAGCAATGGTCGTGGAACTAGCAATGATGGTGGAGCTAGCAATGGTCTTGGAACTTGCTATGATGGTGGAGCTAGCAGTAGGGGAAGTGGACGAGGAAGGGATGGCCTTGGAAGAAGTTGGGGCGGGTGAAGCGGCGACAACAAGGGAACCCTAGCAACTTGAAATGGTAGTGACAAAAGCAGAAGTTGTGGCTAGAAAATTTGCATGTGGTTCTTGTTGGGTTTATTGTTGTTCTATTTAAGACTTTGCTTCATTTAATTTTTGTTCGTGTTGCTTTTTTTTTTTGGATTAATAAAATTTCATGGTTTATTGTTTTGGAGTACTTGGTATCGAATTTCTCCCACCAAAAAAAAAAAAAACTTGGTATCGAATTTCTTTTGTGCATCATAAAGTTTTATAAAGTTGATAGACTGAGCCAAGTCTTTATAAAGTTAAATAAATAAAAACATTCTCCTTTTATATTTTAGATGTAAATGACAATAAAATAAAATAAAAAATGCAAAACATAAATTTTTCATTATCGTTTGAGAAATGACTAAGAATGCCTTCTCCTTGTATGTCACTTTTCAAAAATGCCTCTCTCCCTTATCTGACTAAATTTTAGGTCGAAATGGACGATTTTGCCCTTATTACAAATTATAAAATATATTAAAACAAAAAAAATCTCCCCCACACAAAGTCCAGATCCGATCTACATCTCCACATCTACGTCTCTTCTCTTCTTCTTCACTCTACGGATCTGTTGTTCTTTCGCTGGAATAGAAACTGAAACAAAGCGCTAAGAGTGGGAGATTGAGTCGGAGCAACAGAGTCGCTAAGAGTCGCTAAGATGGATGAAGAGGAAGCTGAGAGGCGGATTTATCGGCAACGTCACCGTGGAGGAGAATCGACTTGGGAACGGAGAAGCAGTGACGCTGAAACTCCGGCAAAACTCGGTAGATTTCGAAACCTAACTGTTTTCATCCATCTCTCTCTATATATCTTTTGGTTTCCGAAAGCAGTGACGCCGATTTTTTTGTCTCCGGCGATAATCTTATCGATTAAGTTTTGTGATTCTCATTGCGTCTGTGTTTGATTAGATTCCGGAAAGTTCTGATTGATTCAATAAGTGTGTTTGTTTGTTCCTGATATGCTTTTGGTTTCTTCTGCTTTTGATTGTGGCAAGAGATTTGGTCGTTGAAGCGAAACAACGAGTGAGAGAGAGAGATGAATGATAGAGGAGGCTGGTTCGTAGCAGTGAGCGAATTTCTCATTGCTCTAGAACGAGGAAGTGTTTTCATTCTTCCTCTAGTAAATTTCATCACTCTCCTTTTTGAGCTTTGAATTTTTTTTTTGTGAGGAAGACTTTGAAATTACAACTATTGAGCTTTTGTAATTTTTTGAGCTTTAGGTTCTTAAGTGGTGGTTTTACTGGTTCTTCAAATAATGCAGCTTGAATTTTGAATGACAGTTGAGTCAAGAAACCAAAGATGGCGATGTTCCTCAGAAAATATTAGTTATCAACAAATAACCCCGTAGTCCAAGAGGCAGCAAAGTGTTGGTTTAAGCTTGAGAAGCAAACCGACAGTTACTTGAACCGCAAGACAACGGTTTAATGAAGTGATAAGATTAGATCTTTTAGGAGTTATCTATAAGATTCAATGTAATCCTAGTCGAGATATGATTAGGGTTTGAGACTTTACTATATAAGCATATATCGGGTTGTGATATAGCTTGTGAGAATTGAGAGAGATTAAGGAGAACTTTAGTTTGAGTTAGTTCTAAAGTTAATAAAGAAAAGTGTTTTCTTAACTCCTTGTTCATACTATTCAATTCTAGATTTGGTATCAGAGCTTTTAGCTTTGTTTCTCGAATTTAAGAAAGAACGAAGATCATACGAGACATGAGTGAATTGGCTACGACGGGGAACAAGCTGGTGGAAGGAGGGTCATCATCCATAAAATGTCCAATGCTAAATAATTCTAACTATACTGTTTGGACCATGAGGATGAAGGCTACTCTCCGAGTGCATAAGGCGTGGGAGACAATCGATCCTGGTTCTACTGATATAGATAAAAACGATTTGGCTCGTGCTCTATTGTTCCAATCTATACCAGAGTCCATGATTTTACAAGTTGGAGAACACGAAACCGCAAAAGGTGTCTGGGATGCCATCAAAGCTAGAAACCTTGGTGCTGAGCGAGTGAAAGAAGCAAAGGTTACAGACGCTTATGAATGAGTTTGACAGATTGAAGATGAAGGACAGTGACACCATCGACGATTTTGCAGGGAGAATCTCTGAAATTTCTACAAAAGCAGCATCTTTAGGAGAAAATATTGAAGAAACAAAGGTTGTTAAGAAGTTTCTCAAGAGCTTACCTAGGAAGAAATACATCCATATAATCGCAGCCCTAGAGCAAGTCCTTGATCTCAAAACAACAACCTTTGAAGATATTGTAGGAAGACTCAAAACATACGAAGACAGAGTATGTGATGAAGAAGAAGATTCACAGGAAGACCAAGGCAAACTCATGTATGTTAGCTCGGAGTCACAAGATGGAGGTAGAGGAAGAGGCCGCGGACGTTTTGGAAGAGGCCGAGGAAGATTTGGATATCAACAAAGAGAGTATGTTCAAAGAGACAAGTCCAAAGTGACTTGTTACCGATGTGACAAAACAGGGCACTATGCCTCTAATTGTCCGGATAGACTTTTAAAGTTGATCAAATTCCAAGAAACACAAGAGAAAGAGGAAGATGATACTCAAGACGCAGAATCTCTTATGATGCACGAGGTAGTGTACTTGAATGAGAACAGCGTGATGCCAAAAACGTTTGAAACATGTTCTGAGAAAACTTGGTAGCTCGACAATGGGGCGAGTAATAACATGACGGGACAGCGAGCTTGGTTCTACAAGATGAATGAGATGGTCACGGGAAGAGTAAGGTTCGGAGATGATTCGTGCATTGACATAAAGGGAAAGGGCTCAATTCTCTTCTTGACAAAAACTGGTGAAAGAAAGGTCCTAGAAGATGTGTACTATATACCAGATCTCAAAAGTAATATCATAAGTCTAGGACAAGCCACTGAGTCAGGATGTGACGTTAGACTGAAAGAAGATTACCTCACTCTACATGACCGAGATGGAAATCTATTAGTGAAAGCTACACGATCAAGAAATCGCTTGTACAAGGTAATCTTAGAGGTTGAAGAAACAAACTGCTTGCAGCTTATAACATCGAGCGACTCAAACAAATGGCACGCCCGACTTGGACACATTAATCTTGAGACACTTAAAACAATGGTTGCAAACGAGATGGTTAAAGGAATACCGGCTGCTCCCAAAGAAAAAGAAACATGCTCATCTTGCTTACTTGGAAAACAAACAAGGAAAACGTTTCCAAAAGCAATGTTGTATCGGGCTTCACATATTCTTGAGTTGGTACATGGTGACCTTTGTTGATGCGTCACACGGTCACGGAAATAGCCTTCGGGACGATGGTACGGTCGGCGATCGGTACGGACAGGGCCTTCGGTTATGGCGGTTACGGCGGTTACGGCGGTTACGGCGGTTACGACGGTTACGGGACGGCGAGGGAGGTTGACGATGAGTAGCTCGAATCGCCTAGACTCCAAAGAGATGATTTGCAAGGGTGGGTAGCGACAACCGGTGAGTATCTCGAACCGGTGGTGACTTGGAGAAGAGGGGTGTGAAGGCGGAACGAGGTAACGACACACGAGAGATGGTGGGCTCGTGATACGGTTACACTTAGAGGCTTTGAATCCGATTCAAAGGCTCTAAGGAGCTCTCAATGTTTTCGCAACAAATGAGAAAAGGAAAGGACTGATTTTTATTTCAAAAGAAGCTAACCCTTACAAGTGACTTAGAGGGCCTTTATATAGGCGTTTACAAGGGAGACTCATAAAACCCTAAAGCAAACAGTCAAAGCGCGGGTCAACAAGGATAGACGTGTCAAAATACAAACCATAAGACAAGAAGAGCCTAACGGCTTTATTACGAAAGGAAGGAGAGATGGCCACGTCATGCGGAGATGCGTGGTCATGCGCTAGCGTACGTTGGCCTCGTTAAAACCCTCTTGGTAAACCACGTGGGATAAACCCAAGTAGGGAAAAAGAGTACCACGTCCAACTAGTGACTTTGATGCCTTCACCTAGTGATGGTGAAGACGGTCCGGACAAGCTCATGATCGTCCGGATGGTCGAGTCCAATGGGGCCGTATGGCCGTGGGTCGTGTACTTGGATGAACTCTTCCGCGAAGGCATTGCACTTGATCCTGAGATTGCGTGCAGCTCCCCTTGACCTTGTGACAGCTCCCGGAAGGATTTGAGGTACCTTGGTCGCCGGTAGTGTCCCGTGGGTCGTTCCGGGTTGGTCCATGTTCCGTCCCTCGTCCCGGCCCTCGTCCGGATCGTTGTCCGTATGCTGTCCGGTAGGTTGGGTCTCATTATCCCCTCCCCCTTGGGAAGGTTCTGACCTCAGAACTCCTTCATCATTCCCTACATCAAAAGGAACCAAATCAGAAACATTGAAGGAAGTAGACGTGTTATACGTACCGGGTAGCTCCAAGCGGTAGGCGTTGTCGTTGATCCGCTCGATGACTTGGAAAGGGCCATCTCCTCTTGGGCTAAGCTTGTCCTTTCTACGTTGTGGGAACCGCTCCGGTCTTAAGTGTAACCAAACCCAATCTCCCGGCTTGAAAATCATGGCCTTGCGGTGTTGGTTGGCTTTTCGCGCGTATTGCTCGGTTCTTCTTTCTAGATTTTCCCGGACTTCGGTGTGTAACTTCTTGATCAGTTCGGCCTTGGCTAATCCGTCTTGACATTCTATCTCATTGGGTGGTAAGGGTAGCAAACTCGCGGGGGTTAAAGGTTTGAATCCGTAGGCCACTTCAAATGGAGACTTCTTCGTTGCCGAATGCACGGACTGATTGTATGCGAACTCCATAAGGGGAAGTAGCTCTAACCAAGTGCCCGGATTGCTTGCCACGGTGGTCCGGATCAAGGCGCCTAAGGTTCGGTTGACGACCTCCGTTTGACCATCCGTTTGAGGATGACACGCGGTTGAGTATAGTAGCTTAGTTCCCATCTTTGTGGATGTCGGATTCACACACTCAAGTATTTTGTTAAGTGGGAAAGATTATTCTTGAGGGACAAAAATAAATATGTCAAAGACTTGTAAATTGATACGAAAATTGCTATATTATTTCTCTCTTGAGAGGGCGATCCCCTTTACATGGCCATTGGCCTCTATATTTATACATAGCTAAACGACATTAAAAATGAGTAATTAAGTACAATTATTCCTTCTTAAATGTGTCCGTTTTGATTCTTCGGCTTTAATGCTCAACGTTTGAATTTGAGTTGACTCTGATCTTCATGGGCCTCGCCTCTTCTGGCCCAAATGTCTTTGAACCGACTTACCCGTGTCTTCTACACCGAACTCGCGTCACAGAGCAGTCACTTCGGATTATCTAAATGGTGACAACCACTTCGTCCATCCCTTCGGCTCGCGGGTCCAATGGGCTTCATCCTTTACGGGCCATTATCCTGATTACGTGGCAATCTTTGGTTGGTCTCGTACTTCTGGTGCGGGATCCGACACCAACAATTAGCCCCCCAAGTTCTTCGAAGTGCTATTCCAGTTCGGAGGACTTTAAATGCTCAAGTGGCCAAAGATTGCGCTCGAGAATCTTTCTGATTTCCCGCCGAAAATCCCATCACTCCTTTAATTTTGGCACTATCCTTTTTTAACCGAGTGACATCTGTCATCATTATGACCGTATATTGATTAATTACTATTAAAACGGGAAAAAAAAACCTTCCCACTTCCCACACAACTTCCGAGGCGGTTTCATCATTAGCTTGAGGTAACTTCTTTTCACCATTACTCTCTTCTTTTACTTTTGTACTTTAATCAAAACCTCTCCGTTCCTTCACCAAAACCCTTCTTCGCCGGATCTTGAATTTTTCTTTCTTCCCAATGACTTCTGATTCCGATAGACCCGAGTCTCCGTCTTTCGACGAGAGGCGTTCCAGTAACGATGAGTGCACCCGCCCTGGTGACATCGCCGGTCCGCACTATAGGTCCACTTGTACTCTTCAATCCCTCGAGCGGTTGAAAGAGCTTTGCCGGATTCCGCCGGAAATTATGGCGGAAGCACAAATAGCTTCCCCCACAGAATCTCCAGAGAACCATCGCGATGGTTACTTCTGTGTGTATGAGATTTATTTCAAGGGTTGCGGGCTTACCTTTCCTCTTCCCGAAGCCCTAATTTTATACCTAGCGGCTCTTGAAATCGCTCTTCCTCAATTAACCCCCAATCTTCTCCGCACAATTCTCGGCATTATAACAATCGCGGCGGAAGCCGGTTACGTTATCGGAGTTGCCGAATTAAATGAGCTTCTAAGCGTGAGAAGCTCGTCGAAGAAAACGGGGTATTTCTCAGCATATCCTAACGCCAACAGGAACATCATTTCGCATCTTCCAAACAAGGATGAAAATTGGCATCATCCTTGGTTCTTGATTAAGAAAACTCCCGCTTCGGTTGGAAATCTTGCAGATTTCCTCCCTTCGAAGTGGTCGGCGAAACCTGGTAGAGATTAGGTCGCCCGTATCTTTCCCGGTTGTTTCTTTATCTTTATTAACTAACATCGTTGTTTCATTTCGCAGCTTTCATCGCTTCCAATCTCCCATCTGAAGAGTTCATCGAATTCTTCAAAATAATTCTTGAAGGGGAAACCCTTTGGAATTCCTTCACTCTCGAACGATTCATAGAGGCTAACCACAGACTCAGGATGAGTCCGCCTGGTCATCTTCACCAAATTCCTCCCCCTCCCTCAACTCAGGGAATGTCATCTCGGGCCCTTGCGGCCAAGCGTAAGTTGCTTTCCAAGCCGATGGCTGAGGCTTGCGAGGAGAAGAAAAAGTTTCTCGCGACTTCTATAGACAAGAAGGACTATAGTAGGACCTTGCTGGTCGATGATGGCAGTACTGAGGGAGCTCGATCTGTCGCTTCCTTCAGATTAACTCCTCGTCGTGATCGTCGCGACTCACGTTCTCCTCGGAGGGATCGATCTCCTCGCCGTGATTCACCTCGTCCTTCCCGAGATGATTTTAGTAACGAGCCAATTAAGAACTTGGTTCGCCGAAAGAGAGACAAGTCCTCTCGTAGTGATCTTTCCCCGCAGAGGGAAAAGTCAAGGGCCCGGACTGACCGCTCACATCGGTCTTCCCCTCCTTCTGAACCAATGGGTCCTCCACGACCGGTTGACATGTCTTCCTCTTCCCAGCCTGATAGTGGAAAGACCGCCCGGAGCGCGTCTCCGAAAAAAGGAGATTCTGAATCTCGAGATGCTCCCTCGAGGCTGAAGCCTGCTCTTGTACCTCAAGTCAAATCGCTTTCAGGTTTGGTGATTTACACACACTTAAACTTTTGTCTTTATTAAAATTCCAATTTTTACAATTCTTCCTTCTTCGCAGCTATGGAGACAGAAGGCAGCGTCTTCCGATGCTTCAAGACCCGTTCTGGTTCGATCTTGCCAGATTTCAACAAATGGCGCCCTGCGATTCGTGAACGTTATTTGCTTCACGCGCATCACTCATCTCGGGTTAGTCCCGCTTTCTTTTATGTATATTTTTTATTGTATTGCCATTCTGCGAACTGATTCATCATCCCGGGTTCATGTATAACGCCAGGCCCAAAGCGAATTTAACGACATGATCGAACATTACGAAGGGTTGGTCATTGGCCGGGAGAAGGAGATTGACATGTTGACGAAGAAACTCTCCGCCCTTGAGGCCGAACTCAGTTCTTCTGCCGGCTCCAAGCATGATCTGGAGGACAAAGTCGACAATTTAACATCCGAGCTTGCGCAGATAAAGGGGAAGCTGCAGGGTCAGTACGACCAGAACTTCAAACTCCAGGAAGAGTTTTCTGGTATTCAAGGTAGGCTTCAAGAGTCTGAATCAAACGCTGATTCCCTGAACAACCAACTCATCGAGCTCAACGCGAAGTACAAGGCGATCGCCAAATTGCGTGACTCCGAGTTGGCGAGGTCGGCATCAAAGGCCAAAAAAGAGGTCAAGGGACGCGGGATGGAGTTGATCCAAGGGGCCATCCGATTCATGCAGACTGAGAAGGCTAGGTCTGACCTGGAATCTGACATCAAGGAGCACGAGAGCAACCTGATCCTGCTGGATCAAATCCATGATGCAGATTTCTCCGAGGATCAAGAGAGAACCGAACTATCGGCTAATCTTTCTGAAAAGCGAAGTCGCTTGGCCGCTCTTCCTACTTCGACCTTCAACCCTCAGGACTTCGAGGATTTCTTCACCGAATCGCCTCCTATAAGCGAATCAGGTCTAGACTGGGCAGGTAATGCTTGGCTCCTGACATTTATTACCTTTCCTTTTCTTGCACCTTTGGTTGA